TCCAATAAGTTTTTCGAAATTATAAATGCAGTTGTTTACTATAGGTACAAATATTGTATGAAATAACACTTAGGAAAGTCATAATCTTTTTGCATCAAAAGCTACACTTATTATAAAACATTTAAACTAAACATCGAGATTTCTATTACTATTACAATAATTAGAGAAAAAAATATTGATTGATGAAATAAAATGCATTTTGTTGTTGTGTTTTTACTTCATTATTTGTTACCTTTAAGGCCGGTTTTAAATATCATTTAGGTACTCAAACATACTATTTGCACTTTATAAATAAACTAAATAGGTAGATATTTACCTAATGAAAAACGAAACAAATATATGGTATTATACTTATGTGGTCAATAGTAATGTATCACATAGTTACGTATTCATTATTATTGTGTTAATACATATATTATTCATTTAGTAAAATCCTGATGACGTCAAGTTGTGGTTCTCATTTATCCCCATTGCTAGTTCTTTACAAAATTTACTCAAGAATGTAAGTAGGTATGTATTAATTAGTGACTAACTGTCAACGTGGTCCGTATAAGGTATGCAACGAAAGTTGCTGGTATTTATATTATATGGGTACCTAGGTAGGTATAGAGTCATAATTATTTAAAAAAAATAAGAATTATTGGTGAAACGTGTATTAAAATGTCATTTGTCATAAAAAATATTTATCTTAATTGTTTGTTGGCAGAATATTTATTTTTTACATGTCCGATTTTACAATGTTCTGCTATTTAGATACGTGGCAGAATTTTATTTAGCAATAGGTATACCTAAATAGTTAATTACTTTTGTGGAAAATAAATGCAAGTCGACAGCATTAAAAATAAAATGGCACCTCATTGACCAATCCACTTAAATTTTTAAGAAAATCAACTAAGTTCTGTGTATTCAATTCTGGGAACTGTTTTGGTCGCCACTACAACAAGTCAGAATGATATTTATTTAGAAAAAACACACAAGCAATAATAGGTAATGCCAATCTGTATCAGTGTTTACCCTCTTCGCGATATTTCTAACATCTCATTTACATTTAAAAAGGTTTTTGAAGATACTGGAAACCTAAATATTTATTCCACTAATTGTCTATAGGAAAAGAGGTTTCTACTGTACGTATAAACTGATATTCATACTTGCACATAAACTGTGAAACTGTGATGCTTGGTCACAGTGAAAACAGAATTTGTTATTAAGTGACCCAACGTATAAAGAAAAACACGCGAAAGACAAGGACTTTTTCTTAGCTCGTGAAGACCATGGCATGTGTCTAACTTAAGTCAAGGCAGTGGGAAATTCCCCAAGAATGATCAACATTTTGTTTAGTTTTTTAAACTCAATACATAATCGAACAGCGTTTGACAACCGAATAATTGAATGTGTGGACCCTGAACGCACTTTTAAGTGTGGGAGAGCCATGCTTCGGCACAAATGGGCGAGTTCGACTGTGTTTTGTCATGTGAGTGAGGTTACCGGAGGCCCAGTTACCCTCCCCACTACCCCAATCTGCCCAATCCCCGAATCCCTCACAATCCTCAAACTCCTAACCCCTAAAAGGCCGGTAACGCACTTGTAAAGTATCTGGTGTTCCAGGTGTCCATGGGCGACGACGATTGCTTACCATCAGGTGATGCGTCTGCTCGTTTACCGGCTTATGCCAATAAAAAAAAACCATAATTATTCTGAAAGATGTTGATGGATCATAACATTTAATTTCTTAAGTAATTTAAATTTATGTTTTAATTGCACAACCAATACGCTGCGTCTATTACGAAAATATACTCCTAAGTTCCAATTAACTTTAAAACGAATGGAATAGTATTATTTTAGAAACCAATTAGTTACACCCAAAATAACTACTAAACAGGCTAGTTAAAATAAAAATAATAGTTAAAATAATTCGGTAGTTAAAATAAAGTGCTTAACTTACACAACGTTGTGAAAATTCCAAAAGCAACAAAACATGTTACTGACTTAGTAATAGGACTTCATGCAACGTAATTAGTGATCTGTTCGCCTGCTCCATGTACTTAGTCGGAAGTCAATGAATGGACAATTTTGTTTAATTAGTCATTGTAAATATTTATAGTCTAGCGGACGTTCAATGTTCAGAACCTATGTTTCTCAATTAGATGGGTAAGTTCTCCTTTAGTGATGTGAATACTTTTTTTCAAGTAGCTTAGTAGCTACAAAAAACAAGGTAACGGTTAATCATCGTTTTGCAAAAATAATGATAAACAACAAGTATTTACTGAATTTATTAAACTTGTTTTAAAATAATCATAATTGGTATAATCAATCAAAAATCGTATAGTTAAAATACATTGCCAAATATTTTATTACAATTAAAATATTATCTGTTTTCTATTGTATTACGACAGTGTAGTAGATATTGCCTACAATAATCATAAAATAGAATATAAATTTTTATTAATATTTCGAAGGTAATACATGTGTTAATAATTAGGTGCAATCGAAAACAGTTGACTTAGCAGCATAATAGTTTTAGATAGATACTTCGTTTGCATACATAAGTATTTTATTAGTCGTTTTTGCCTACACGTATCTACCTATTTTACTGTAATGATTTTCTAACCACTTTCACATAATTTCAATTATCTGATTGAAGTTCTTATCCAGTTCAACTTCAGTATCAAATCACCAAATACAAAAATCTATCTAAACAACAATTAATCTCCAAAATATATGTTCTGATACGCATTTTTTACTGTTACCCAATCGATACAATGTCTATGAAATATGTATCCCTAGGAAAGCCGTCGTGGAGAACCTAACTCCTCCGGCTCGACGTGCAGGAGAAGGAACGGGGTGGTTTTTAGTCAGTAAGAGTCTGACACTCCCTCCTGCCTCACCCAGGCGGGAGAAGTCTATCGATGATTTTCCCCCTTAAAAAAATATCCCTAGGAAAGCCGGCACTAGTCGCTAGCCATTAATGCTTTTAAAACACCACTCAATCAATACCTACCTACTTATCTACCCGTCTGTATTTGATGACATTTGACGTCATACCAGAATAATGAACTTGAAAAAATAGTAGAACACGTGTTAGCACAAAAATGTAGACACCTATTATGATAACTAAGCACCGGCTATAATTTTTTCATGGTGTTTTGAAAATACATTAAATATAAATTGGAAAACCCAAACTGTATAGAAAAACCATACACTTAATGTGACTTCGCTGTTACAGGCTATACAATCAGTTTCAAAAATTATAATTAGTTGGGTTACTCATCTCTTAGCGACACAAATAACAAGAGACAACCCGTCATTATGTGCACCCAACGCAGCAACGTAGCATTAATCAGACTTCATCTTGTGTGATTAACTAACCACAAAGTCCACATCTATAGTTTTATCGTGAAAATACTTTTAAAAAGTCCTTATTTTTAATAAATTTCAATAACAATTCTACCTATATGAGTCCAATGACCGTAACGATAAAATAATATATGTTAAATCAAACAGCATCACTACACTGTACTTATAATATGGTACAATGTATTTACAATTACATTTACAGCAGCCTAACCGAGGCCACGATCTGATAAATCAATTGATAGTGTTTTGTCAAATAATAGAGACTGTTGTGGCTAGCAAAATAAACACCGGAAATAATTCTAGGAAACATTGTGATAATTTGTAGATGAAATGACTATGTGTGGTTGTAAAAAAGTAAATAAAGAATTATGTACACACAACCAGCATTGACTCAAGGCTAAGATTTGGCAAATAAGGTAGGCGTGGGTAGAAACCGTTTGCCATACCTAATCTAATATTAAAAAGTGGGCACAAATACGTGTTTAAATTATTAGTTTGTTAAAACATAATACATACATATATTTCGTTTGATCGTTATTCTTTCAGATAAAATTGTAATAATTAATTATGTATATACTTTATTTAGATTACAGAGTTCATGATACAAATATTAATATAAAATAAACATTTGTTTTTAATGTTATTTACACTGCAGCATCATTGTATTTACACTGTCAATTAAATTAAAACATATTTATCTAATACTGATTAAACCTTTTACCATTAAAAAACTCTACAGCAAAATGAATCTTCCTTCTCATAAGTTATATAATTTTAATTATGTATTTATCAAAAACCTTGAATTTGGGTCGACCTAGTTTTAGGCTTCCGCGCGGTTTCACACGCTCTTCTCAGCTCCTATTGGTTTCAGCGTGATGTTTTATAACCTACAGCCATCCTCGATAAATGCGTTATCCAACACAAAAAGAATTATTCAAATTAGACTTGTAGTTACGGAGATTAGCGCGTTCAAACAAACAAAAAAACAAACTTCCGTTTTATATAATAGTTTAAGTTAAGAGTATAAGATATGTACAGTTTACTACTAACTGTTTTGTTCACACTAGTTTATTGTTTTAGTTTATTTATTTACATATAACACCACGCCTTTTTATCCCCGAAGGGGTATGCAGAGGTACTCATTACGGCACTTAATGCCACTGTGCAATGTACTGTGTTATGAATCCCATATAATATGGGTGAGCCTGTAGCCATATACCTACCGGGCACAATTGTTATTTATTTATGAATAATATTTTTATTAATCAATATCAAGGAACATTTTTATCTGAACGTTTACCTGCTTTCATTTCCCACTAGGTTCTTTATAAGCCGCTGTCGAAGTCAACCTTCAGTAAATTCTTCGAATTTGATCTGCGTTGCACATTGCAAACAAAGAATGACCACAGCTAAACTTGTAAATTAGCATATTATAGGAAATATTTAACGAATCATTAAGGCTTAAAAGTAGATGATACTTTATTAAATATCTTTAAAAATGTAGTATATAAAAAAGAATTTATAATTTTTAGGTGTCTTCTGTTCCAAAGAAAGGTAGTGTTTTTGTTAGAAATACTGAAAATAGTTTTATATCAATGGTATAGTACAAAAAAATTATAAAAGCAATTATTTTTTTGAAATTCCAGATGACCACTTCTGCATTCAAATGCAAGCACACGAACTCAGACAGCGACACACGCCATCAATACGACTATACCAACCAGGAACCTCTAGGAATGCCAGACAATCATGCCTCTGTAGGAGTGAGTTCACGAATATCTTCGATGTCTGCAAACCACCCACCAAACCAAGCCGACGATGCAAAAACTTTTGCTCAACTTAGAATAGCAGATGCAACGCAGACGCGACGATCAGAAAGTGAGTCTAAAATATTGACTTGGAAGCCATTAACAAGTAAACGAGGTAAACTATCATTGTTGTACACAAGATATGGGGAAGGTACATAAGTATAGAACCTGTAGGTGTAACTTACCATAGAACCGAAGTTAACCTTTCAGTAGACATGATTTCAATCTAACTGCAGCATACAAGGTCGGCCATTTACATCGCTTGCAGTAGGTAGGTAGGTACAAAGATTATTATTTTAGCACTCGCGTCATTGTAAGTAGGTAATTTCCTCCTTTTATTTACGCACAGTATATATGGTCAAACTACGGGTTTATCTACAAGTGTTACAATGATTCGATGGCGTGAATTTAATTGAAACACTTCTAATATGGTTAAAACGAGTTCACTTCTTCAAAACTGCAGTGCCAAAGTTTCAATGTCCAGGTTGACGGAATCTGGGCGTGCCATACGCATTACCTATGCGTATGGTGCGGTCATTTAATAGTTTTTGTCATCTTACCTTCACCAACTAGAGTTTTATAGTATAAAGAAATCCTAACTTCTATCTATGCATTGATTTAGTAGTGCTGATGTGCTAGATCTAAAATAATTTTTTACTCGGAAAAATTATTTTTGTAAATTGATCGAATTGTGTAGGATATATTTTTATAGGACATAAAACAAACAATTGCGTTAATTCTAGTTATTTTTATGAGGTAGGCAAACGAGCAGACGGATCACCTGATGTTAAAACAGAGACAATGTTCTCGAAGTTACATAATGTGGGACAAAGTAATGAAAATATTGTTATTCGGATGATTTATTATTTGGTAGCCATTTTCCTTGTCTGAGGGGCATGTAAGTTACAGCTTAAGAGTAATCCATGTAAATATAACATATAGGTAGATACTTACCTACACAGAAATGAAATACAAAACCACATTTCGCCACAATTACAATTTTTTCGGTAAAATGAAACAAAGAAATTTTGGTAGGCACTTTGTTCTGAATGAAATTTGTAATAATTTAAATAAATAAATGTTTTACACGCGTGTACACTTAAAATCCGGGAACTAAGTACCTTACCTACCTATATGCTATATCAAAAAACTACAGTCATCAATTTGAATATACAAAAACGATATTATGCTGGCAAATTGCCTTATGACTACATTGTCTCTGGTTTTAAGGTTAAATAATTGTACTTGTGCTTCATAAAAACTACTATTGTAACACGGATGTATAATTGTTTTTTTTCTTTGCTTTGATTACATTGAGATAATCATTCCGTACACTTTTTCTTGACATAGTTTGTAATGTTACGTTACAAAGATACCTAAACACATATCTACTCCTAGTAAACAATACGTACCATGACTATTTTTGGTCAAACGATTTTTACCATAAACAGTGTTATCTTATATCATATCAAAGCATTATACATAATCATAATAATGCACTAAACAAGAACAAAACAGAAGTGAAAACGTACATACATACATAACATAACATCACGCCTTTTATCCACGAAGGAGTAGGCAGAGGTGCACATTACGGCACTCAATGCCACTGTACAATGTAACATCCACTATTCATTATTTATGTCATGAGCCCTATGTAATAGGGGCTGAGCCTATTACCAAGATATACCGGGCACCTTTCTAGACGCTGTGCTACTTCTAAGATTTAAAAAAAACCAGTAATACTTTGCCCGTCCCGGGAATCGAACGCAAGACCCCTTGCCCGACAGTCAGCACTTGCGACCACTCGGCCAATGAGGCAGTCAAGTCAAGTAAAAACGTACCTATATTATAATAAATATCTTATAATGTCTATTCATGTTTCCAGGTCCAAACAACGACAATTTCAAAATTGTATTTCCCGGGCCTACATCTGAAGAGCTCAAGCTAGAAATACCAGAACATTGCAGAAAAATTGGTATTTGTCAAGATGTTCCCAACTACCCGCACGAACTAGCAGACAAGGCTATATCACAGGTACCTATACCAAATACCTATGCTATTTTTATGGTTTACGAAAACGGTTTTTTTAAGGGGCGAAAATCATCGAATTTCTTTTTCCGCCTGGGTGAGGTGGAAGGGAGTGCCAGACACTTAGTGACTAAAAATCACCCCGTTCTTATTCCTGCACTTCGAGCCGGAGCCCCGATAACCCGTTAGTTAAGTTCTCCAAGGCTCCGTATCGGCATCAGCCCTATTGGGCCCCACCTGTGGTGGTCTGATGGCTTTTTGTGGCGCGCGCGGAACGCTGCGCGCCGCACGCTCGGGTATGATTCTGGTCGAGGGGCGAGATACCCATGCACGCCGTCCGCAGGCCCGTGTATACGGTGGCCGGATATCGTCCCGCGATCCTCGACGCCCGGAGTGTCCTACGCGAGGGCTAGGTTGTGAGGAGGCAGTGTTTTGCTGCCTCATGTGCCCCACCTCCTTCTTAGCTAACATGACTGCTTCGCAAAAGGAGGAGACGACATCCCAGTTCCCCTCGCCCCGCATCATGATCCGGACTAGGACCGGATGCGAAAGGTCGCCGTCGCCAATCACATCCCTGAGGGCACGGCGGTGCTTAGCTCACGCAGGGCATTCCCTTACTGTGTGTTCCACCGTGTACTCAGGGCGTCAGATCAGTGGGTTTACTCTTGAATCCAATTCCGATCGATCGACATTGGTATTGTGAAATTTCGTACTCTTGAGTTGCAACACTAGAGCCCATTGCAGCCGTATTGCGTGGATATTGAATGAACTTAATGGTATTGAATTTGACTTTATATTCCGTACTCTAAATGCTATTTTAACAGCTACGATAGGGGTTGTATCGTTTTGACATTGAATAATTATTGAGATTTTATTGGATTGAAATTGCATTGACATTGAGATTGGTTTCAAGAGTAAGCACACTGATGGAGCTTCGTCCGCATCAACATCAATAGGGAAAGTACCCAGAAGGCTGGCAGTATTGCCACGTTGTATGGCAATGCTTAGCCTCTGACCGAGAAAAAAAAGATCAGCCCTCTGGTCACAAGTGGCGTCGACCAGGCGTTTCGAAATGTTTTGAAAAAATTTATAGGAACTTGGATCCCGCGGACCTAACGTCTCAACCCCAAACGGCTCAAAGATATAATTACCAGTAAGGTTGTTATACTTGCGCCGTTTTAGGTTTTCTGCAGAGGCGCAGCCGAACCAGCAGAACCCGCAGTTACTGGAAGATGAGAAGGTGCAAAGTTGTCGACGCAGGTTGCGTACCACACCAAAGACATTCCCAGCTTCCAGGGCATAATGGACATACCGTGAGGTCTCTTACCATCGTCACTCGCCAAGTCCTTTAGTTCCCAAACAGCTGGCACACCGGCGATGACAAGAGCTCGACGGATAATGTCGTTAATGCTGGCGTGTCGGGCTATTCGGCCCGCTCTTCTGCTATTTATAAAATGTGTGTAAAAAACCACATCATGAAGCAAACCTAATAACACCAAATTAAATCATGATTATGCATTTTTACAGCTGCCCGATATTGGTGCGTTGCAACTAGATAAACTGGACATTCCAGCATTACCTGACATCGCACAAAGAGTTGGGTCTCATGAAGAAACTCTCGAACTCTGCAAATTTCAAGAACAGGTAAATCTTTAGATGTATAGTCAGTTTACCTATGTCCTTAAGCACACATGGACTTTTTAATAGGCTCAAAGAATAAAGGATGATTTTTTTACCTTACTATCATCCTGGTCGTTCGGTACATGTACAGTCAGCCAAACTATTTGGTGGATAATTTATGATTGATTCAGTACAGAGACGATATCTAGCTATGGTTAAAGTAAGTAAATAATAGGCCAGATAGGCTTCAATGAAGCCATATCTTCCATATCCACTGGTTAACTCAGTGATGAAAAAATTATTACTGACTTTGTTATCTCTGTGCTAAAACATTCTTTATTTTCTTACCTGTCAAGTATTTAATACCCACTGTACATTTTATATAGTTAAGTATTAGTTATCAAATTCTATGAAACCTATAGAATCAGTCCTTTAAAACTCTAAAAACCGTAATAAAATTAAAGTCGTCTCAATTAGGTAAAAGAATGTTAGATCTTTATTGAAAATATAGAACCCTACACTTAAATAATTAAATAGATCGGACTAACTTACCTGTGACGTCCGATCCTCAATTGTGTAGGTAGCGTCATCCTCGCTAATTATACTAGTAGTAGGCACTAATCTGGGCACGCTGTCACAATATTTAAAGATGAACACATTCATAAAAAAATATTTATACTCTATGGTCATCTCACTGGCAACATCATTTACTTCAAAGCACCTGCAACTGCAACACAACTCGACCAGGGGTAAAAATAAACATGTTTATTATCCGGGAAGGGTTGGGACCTAGCGAGGATGACGCTACCTACACAATTGAGGATCGGACGTCACAGGTAAGTTAGTCCGATCTATTTAATTGTATAGGTAGCGTCATCCTCGCTAATTATACTAGTAGACGTTCAAAGAAGGAGTTGTGTTGACAAACAACACTGTTTAATCATTGAACATTGTTGCACTTAAACAAGATATATGACATTGTCAATAACATCAATATCTCACGAGTACTATATAGTACTAGTAAAAACTTAAGCAATAATCAAATTACGTTTATAATTTCCCCAAGATGTAAGCCACTAAACCATTATTAGATATAATAGCTACTTATGGTTATGGTATTGTTTTCAATCATTTTTATCAAATAAAAATACTTATAAAATTAAATACATTTTAAAAATAGTATTAAAAATAAACAGAAGCCCAAAGCACGGGTTATCTTAGTTTGGGTTCCTGACTTTCATCATTGTATTGTCAGGTAAACTGCATTAACCCTATGTAGAACCAAAGTGAAGTGAAGAGAAGAAACAAGCTTATGTCAATATTATAAGATTAATATTAAGATCTACATCATTATGTATTGTGATGGAAAAATAATTAAATGTCCTTATTTATTAATTTAATTATTTAGTAAGCATAGCAACAATATTATTATCTTGAAATTCTGGTGTCCACTACACCAACTATAGGTACACCTACTATGTACGTTTTGAACTATAACGTTGTTCAAATTCAGTCTATTGCGAAAATTTAACGTCTTTCAATAGGTTGTTTTCTTCAAAATTATCAGTTTCTTTTTTTTTTTTTTTTTTTTATATATTATCTAACTTCTCCATTTTCAGTAGATCTACATTATGATCATGACTCCATACATAGTGATATACAGAGCTAATAAGCTCATGCAATATTAGGATTGTTGGTGGAAAAATGGATTGACTGACCAGGCAGTCGTCTTACTTAAATATATGACTTTGATACTGATTGATACATCTCTGTGAGGCTTTAGAAGAGGTTGAGAGTCCACTGTTATAGTACTAGACATACATTCACTTGAAATTGTAGAATATGATTGATCCCAGAACAATGATTTAAAAATTGTTCTTAAAAATAAAAAATAGTAGGTAGGTAGGTACTATTAAATATGGTTCAGGTTTATTGGCATTATCATTTAGGTACAATCTATAGTGATAGAGATAGTGTGAATTATATGTGCTAATTAATTGATGTTTTAAACTAAAGTTTTAAGCTAAGATTATCATTGGAGTACATACAGGTACATAATAATATTGATTTATTTAGATTGTCATGTACACAATACAATAAAGTTACGGTACATGGTGAACTTGATTCCAAGTGGCATATTCTACCAGTAACCCTCAGGGTTTTAAATAATAATTGTAATAATACACAATTATGTACCTATTTTAGAATAAAACTGGAACCGCACACCACATATTAAAGTTTCTTTTTCTTTTTGGCCTTAATTTGTATACACTTCTAAAAAATCTTGTAGGTAGTTTCTTAATAATTTCACACAAGAGGACCTAGGACTAATGAAGTACCTATCTAATAGTATTCAATAAACTGTATGATAGGTAAATTTAGAAGTAAAAATATAATAATCACAACGGATACATATGCTGAAAAAGTCAAAGCAAAGTCGTATTGCTGTTTTGTTTTACTTTACAATGTGATGCTAGCATTATTCCCATAGAATGCAGTACCTATTCCTTTTCTTAGGAATTCATTCCTGATTATATGGTGGTGACTACATTGTATATGTTGTGTAAAGTGGGTGAACTTCTGGAAGGAAACAACCAGAGATAACACTAGAACTTAATGAGGTTCAGAAACTTGAGTTGAACCGTGGGTATCAATAATGGATCCTAATAACCTTTGCATATACCCCCCCCCCCTTTTTCTCTTTATGACTTTTAAAATTCCGAAAAGAAGGAGGGCATGGAAAAAGAATCTTCCTGCACTTACTGAATAGTGAAAACAACAGTAAAGATATCAGGGTCAGGAACCCATGATACATATATTTCAGTCTCTTATACTTGTTTGCCTATAGATCTTTGGCGTGATACACCAAGTGGTTTTGGAGGCAAACTTTGATTTAAACTCGTGCGAATGGGACATCTGAGTTTATTTAGGTATTTCTTTACCGGCCTTATTTTCTTTTAAGGTGTAAACATTTATTCTAGATTAACTTAAATAACAAGTGTTCAAGTTCTTTTTGGTAAAACAGAACGTATTTGACATCTGATGTTTTAATGTCAACATGTCAAACAAACGTAAATATTGTTTACAGTGAATATTTTGTTGTGCGTATTCGCTTAATAGTTATTATATTGGCCTTACAATTTCAATTATTAACCTAATTTTAACATGGAGCCAGCCAAATTCCATAGCTGGGCGAGCAAACAATGTTAACTTTAAAGTTGAACGGAATCAAAAATCTGCAACTTTTTGTTTAGGTCATACAATTTTCATTATACTTGTAATAAAATCCACCTTTTTAAGTGGCACTTATATAGAGTTGTCTAGAGTAAGAAATTAATCCTATATACTGAAAGAATCACCCTTTTCAGTATAAATAATATTTAATACTATACCAAGTTTACAAGAATACTTCTGTAAGGTTCTGTATTAGTAATATAGTCTAGACATTTCTTATGTTCTGCAAAATTAAGGAATATCATCAACATAATTTCGTGTAATCAATACTATACAATGTATAAGGTTACTCTTTGGGAAGACAAATAAGAACCGCAAATGTTTGTCATTCACCATTTTCCTTCACTGATATTAAATAAAATGCATTCTTAAGTTGATCATGCATCTGAAGACACTTCAACATATGAGGAGTTTTAGAAATGGTTCTAGATCCATTGTTTATATTAATAGTAACATAATTTATTATAGTCCTTAATTATTTAATTGCCTGAAGGACCATTTGTTCTGGAATGTGAAGATAAACTGGCAAGTAATCACTTAGTCAGTTATCTACATATATGGTACAGTACAGCACCTTAGCTTTAACAATTTTCCTTCAGAAGTAAAATTATTTTGCTTTTACACCTATGTGGGTATTTTGTGGTATATTTGTCTGAACAGGAATATCAGTGATGGTAATTTATACCTATTAATCCAACTAAGTATGGTTGGGAAACCTAAAGCAGAACTCTATTGTTCAGAAAGGTAATGTGATCTACCTGTACTAGCGATGATCCGGACCTCAGTGCTGTGGGTAGAATTAGAAATTCTGTAGAGGATGCATCGGCCTTGTTGATTTTCTTGTAATCATGTGTTCGCTTTAGTTTTGGTTTTTGCTCACACACACACACACACACACACACATATTGTTTGTACATCACACAGTGTTTGTTGATGTGGTTGGCATGAAGTTGGTAGTCTAAAAGGTTTTCTTGGATGTTCTCCAATTCAAGTTTAGACTCTCTGATAGCTTTACTTGCAATAAACTTGTCTTGAAGCACTATTTATTACTGTATATATAGCTAGAACACCTATTTGTGTTCTGATCTTCATTCAGGGGCACATGTTAATAATTTACAGAGCAGTCTGGCTGTATCCTTAAAATCTTTAATAGGTTTGTTAATTAATTTGCGAACAGTAACTGCTCCTAGAGTCATTTGATATTCACAATCCTATCGTCTCACTCAATCCCATCTTTATTTAGTGGCACCTCCTCCCCTCCTCATTTATTTGAGACATTGGGAGGAATTAGGTTATAATAATTATGAAAAGGGAAAATAAGTGTAATCATTTGATAAGAATGGCTTTGTCCAACATGCAACACTATGGAATAGCTGGCTAAGGAAATGTCCCATTTCCCATAAGCATAGGTAGCAATTGCTCCGGAGTATATTTACTGACTGGAGCGAGACTATAGGAGTAGTTTCCAACTCATGTTGATTGGCTTCGGTGCCATGCCATGGTGAGCGGCTTCAACTGGAATGGCTTCATGTTCTTCTGAGGCAAAGCGAACTGATTTTAAGTTTCTAACTGCAAGGTAGTTTAAATGATCCACGGCTAACCTCTCGTGAAAGCTCTAGGATTGCAGTTGGAAATGTTTGACTAAATGTGACTTAAACCCGTGGCTAACCTCTCGTGAAAGCTCTTGTGGTTTGCTTCAAAGTCAAGTAACCAACGGCTGACCTCTCGTGAAAGCTCTTGTGGTTCGTTCCAAAGTCAAGTAAACCAATGGCTAACCTCTCGTGAAAGCTCTTGTGGTTAATTCTATAGTAGAGTTACCAACGGCCAACCTCTCGTGAAGGCTCTTGTGGTTCGATCTACAGTAAACATGTAACCAACGGCCAACCTCTCGTGAAGGCTCTTGTGGTTCGATCTATAGTAAACATGTAACCAACGGCCAACCTCTCGTGAAGGCTCTTGTGGTTTAATCTATAGTAAACATGTAACCAACGGCCAACCTCTCGTGAAGGCTCTTGTGGTTTCGATCTATAGTAAACGTGTAACCAACGGCCGACCTCTCGTGAAGGCTCTTGTGGTTTAATCTAGGTATATAGAAAACGTATAACCAATGGCTCACCTCTCCTGAGGGCTCTTATGGTACGTTTCAAGTGTGTATGTTGCGTACACAATCATTCTCAAGGCTATCCGCTTGTGGAAGCTATTGGAAAACGCCCCACAATGTGGTGTAAGTACCTACAAGAAAAAACTTACCAAACTGACGACAACGAATGCGTCCTCTCGCCGGTTTCGCCCAATTATCCAATTCCTGCATACACTCCATCAGTTTTCCTATCTGCTTGCGACGTTTTCGACCCATTTAGTAGGAAAATCACCAAATTAAATTGAAAAATTTTCCAGGGTACGACGTGACAGGTCGTGCACAAAGAAGTACAATGATGTTGCCAGTGAGATGACCATAGAGTATAAATATTTTTTTATGAATGTGTTCATCTTTAAATATTGTGACAGCGTGCCCAGATTAGTGCCTACTACTAGTATAATTAGCGAGGATGACGCTACCTATACAATTACAAGATCGGAGTATCAAATCTATATGTGATTTTTCTAAACGTTCATCGTCACATTTTACAGGTGATGTATCCCAAAGCAGCACGTGATGCCGATGGAATTTGGCATTTTGTGCTAAATAAAGAAGAAAACCCTATACAAGGATTTAAAGTCGAGATTTGCGAGTAAGTATCATTCATAGTATAATTTCATTAATTTTAATAATTGCCTTTTATATTTTCTTTTCAGTACAGTACCTACCCAGTTTACTTTTAACTAGCTGTGAAGCAAAATTACTTAATTTAAGTTTTAAAGGAATTTAAAAATTGATAGTACCTATACAACAAATCTTGAAATATAAATATTTGGTAGGTAATATTTTTAATCAACTTTCTTTTGTTTCAGTCCCAACTCTAAATCGTGTTCTAATATAATATTCACCCAACGCGGATATGGAACCAGTTGTAAACAAAAGTACGCATACCGTAAAATGGCTGTGCTACACGACAATGGTACAACTTCGGATATGGCACTAAACGTACCCAGTTGTTGTGCATGTGTTGCCCATACTGTATTAGTGTAAAATTTAATTAATTAATTAATATTGTGTGCGACACGCGTAATTTATACATTACTGATAATGAGAATTGATGAGCTTAGTAGATATTTTAGGTACCATACTAACATATTCGGACAAATATTCGAATTAAAATAAATGGCATACCTATTAGGTAGGTACCTACTTAGTCAATTACACTACTGTGAAAGTAGTGTAATTAGCTCCCACCACCCAAATTTCAGTATGTCTAATTATGACAAACTAATTATTATATTATAATCCCTAGTCGATTATGAACTAAACAACCCTTACCTATTGTGTACATTTTTTAAAATTTATTAAAACTCAGGTTGTTCTAGTTTTACTGTTCAAAATGTTAGTTTTAATAGTGATGTCAAGAAACCATATTTGTAATAGACATCATTTATAAAAAGTAATATAAATATGTTGAATCTTTCAACGCGTGTATAAACCGGGACTGACATTATTTCAGGAAGATATCTTTGATTTCATAGCTGGCATAGGATCTGTTGATACCTATGCTATGACAATTTGTGCCTTATTTGACTAGATGTCTATAGGTACAGGTAATTTATATTGTAAGTAAACCTTAGAACACTTAAGCAACCCCGGTTTTTTTTATACAATAATAGGGATGATGACGGACGTATGAACTGTAAACATCTAACTAGTGCGTCAGTTACATAATGAAAAAAATATTAGACACGTATTTTTTTTTTTTGTTTTGTCGTATATGGTTACAATACTTAGATAAACTGAATCTAAGTGTAGAAGTGGAAGCTAAAACGCCATTTCCACATATATGACGTCCCTGGAAGAGACGTCACGCGATATTTCAAATCAATATATCGTTCAAAGTATTTGTTTCTGTAAGAAAATAAACAATACGTGTGTAATGTTAAAAATAAAAATTAGTCATCTACCCTATTAAAGTCTCAAAATGTTGGATTTAGAAAATAATAAAACATTAGGTGTTCTGAGACTAAATTTTAGCTATGAGGCTATTAATTAGTCATTAGTAATGACTCATTATATAAGAAAATATTTTATAAAACCAGTAATGGTTGCCCAGTTATTTAAGGACTTTAGATTTGTCGATAATTGTCAATAGATGAATTAATTATATTGTATTTACTTATAATAGTTTCATAATTTCTGAAATTATATTATACAATCTATTTTTGTTACGTAAAAGATATGTGGACTGTTGTTTGTTTTTACACATAAAACAACTTAGCTACCTACATTAGGATTCAGTTCCAGACCAGTATATTTTAAAATATACATACAAAATAGTCATTTCTAAGAATAAACTTTGTCTAGATTAAAAAATAATAAATGAATACCAATATAAACTTGTTTTAATGTTACTTGAACGTAAACATAAAGTGGATGTGACCTTCACATTTATTTACCTCGACTTAACGCTGACAGTTAAACATACCTACTTAATTTTATTACTTACCTACAGATGAAATAATTACAGATAACGTCACGTTGTTATAAAGATCGTAGTAATTATTGATATATTCCTTTATTGTGATGATACGTATCTACTTACCTGCAATATAATTTAAGTTACTTATATGATACCTAGATTATTACTTATATCTATATATATAAAAGAAAGTCGTGTTAGTTACACTATTTATAACTCAAGAACGACTAAATCGATTTGGATGAAAATTGGCAGGGAGGTAGCTAAGAACCAGGAGACGGACATAGGATACTTTTTTACCAATACTTTTTTTTACTTTTTACCGAAAATAACGAACAGAGGGAAAATGGGATTGCGCGTACGAAGTCGCGGGCAGAAGCTAGTGATACCTAGATTACGGTGTGTATTTTGACTTAATTATAATGTTTATTGGCTATTAATAAAAACGTGAGTATAAGCAATACGCTACAGCTAGAGGATTCGATCCCGGGATCCCGAAGCCCGGGATCCCGGGATCCCGATCAAATTTCGGTCCCGTAATTTTCGGGATTATTTTTTAAGTATCCCGGGATTTTCGGGATTGGAATTTATGCTCTTACCAATGCATTTTGAGATTCATTTTTGTGATGTAGAATAAAAATATGCATGAAACGAAGCGAAACGCACGTTAGAAGTTTTAACGGCCATCTTGTTTACACATCTGATTTCATTTGTAATTGCTAACGGATCTTTTTGAGATCATTAAACAAGAAATGAATCTTTATGAAGCTAGTTCCACACAAGGTTATAATTTGGAGAAGACTTATAAAAAATTATTGACGATTCCTCCAACTTCCATTGAGCCTGAGCGCGCTTTTTCTGCCTCTTCATATTTGTGCAACAAATTAAGAAGCAAGCTTTCTGATGAGTCGTTGGATGCTTTACTATTTCTTCGATATTATTTTCGAAGTTGAAAGAAATAATTTATAAATTACCTTGTATTACTGATCTCTTTAGAATTAAGTCATTTTTAATTTTTATCTAAACAAGTGTTTAGAAGTTGATTTTTTAAAGATTTTATGTGAATCAAAATAAACAAAATATTACACTAAGTAAAGAAGTTCCTTGTTTGTTTGTTTATTATTTTATTAGAAGAAAATATTATTTTTGTTTCGTTTTTTGTAGATTGAACTGATGATTAATAGTTGATTTTGATATATAAATTACTGTCTTTCTGTTACTTCTTTCTATCCCGGGACTGTCCCGGGATCCCGGGATTGACTTTAGATAATCCCGAAATCCCGGGACTGGAAAAATGGGCCGGGATTGAATCCTCTAGCTACAGCATCAGTCATTGTTATTATGAGCTTGAATGCGGTTACATCGGTGGTGTGGTGGCAAGGAGGTTTAAGATAAGACGCCCGCTTCTTATTCATGAGAGTGCGGGTTCGAAACCTACCAATAGCAAGCACCAATGTGATTTTTTCCGAGCTATATGGACTTTTTAAGATTATTCAGACACCACTGACAAACGATGAAGGAAAATATCGTGAGGAAACCTGGGCTTATAATTTGTAATTATAAGTTTGATATCGCCAACTCACATTAAGCAAGTGTGGTGATTAATGCTCAAACCTTCTCCGTGTGAAAAGAGGCTTTGCTTAGCAATGGGCATTTATAGGCAGTTAATGATGTTTGATGTACATCGATTTTTAGTTCCTACAAGATAAACAAATATTTATCTACTTTGCTTCAAAACTGTCTTAGTTTGATATATTTTTATAAGATACATATCTTATAGTCTTATACTATTATATAAAGCTGAAGAGTTTGTTTGTTTGTTTGTTTGTTTGAACGCTCTAATTTCCGAAACTACTGGTACGAATTGAATAATTCTTTTTGTGTTGGATAGCGCATTTATTGAGGATGGCTATAGGCTATAAAACATCACGCTACGAAAAATAGGAGCTGAGCTGAGCGTGTGAAACCGCGCGGAAGTAGCTAGTTATTCATAAGCCGGTATGACATTAGCATCAGACATACCAATTTGTATAAAAAGATATAGAGAAGTAGATGATATAGGTACCACCCACTTTTCATTAAGTGGGCGAGGCGAGCAGTACTTATCCATACTAGTCCATACTAATATAAAATCAAAACTGAAGGGTTTGTTGGTTTGTTTGAATGTGGAAATCTGCGGAACTAACAACAAAACTATATGACTAAAGAGTTGTATTGTGACCCAAATTGAAAAAGAGGAATTCATTGATTCAAAAAGAGGGTTTCTTTTCTTCGGTTTTGACTCTGACTACTGAATTCTGTCTGAATTGAATAATTCTGATGGTTGTTTGAGAGAGTAACAACAAAACACACACGTATACATTCTCACAGTCGCGGAGAACCTAACGGGTAAACAGGGCTCCGGCTCGACGTGCAGGAGAAGAAACGGGGTGGTTTTTAGTCAGTAAGAGTCTGACACTCCCTCCTACCTCACCCAGGCAGGAGCAATGATTAGATGATTTTGCCCCTTAAAAAAATACATTCTTACAAACTTTCGCATTTATAATATTATAGTAGGAAGTAGGAAGTAGGATTAATGTTTATATGACAGTGGAGTTTTAATAAAAAACGTAGGTGGATGTTATGTTGCCATCCATATAAAAAAAAAAACCAGATATGTGAATATGACAATTTCCAGAAATGTACCTACTAAGAAACCCAGGAGTATAGCTACGTCGCCACATGTGAGAAGTGGCTGAGGACTTGTTGAACCTCTTCGTCCAGAACCCCCTCGGTGAAGCCCGCCTGAGGTGACAGGCTAATACCTACACGCTCTTCCCTTTCTCGGGGAAGGGCCTTGGGAACGATCGTGTGCTAACCGATCCCGTCCCGCGAAAGACGAGTAGTGCAATTCGAATGTTGGCGCCCCGCACCTATTACCCGCTAATCACCCTCGCGAGAGAGAGAAGACGATTGTACTACCGTGTTCCCCTGCCAGCTGTTCAGGGAGTGACCGGGGAGTGCCCTCACTCCAGTGGGAGCGAGCGCGTCTTCCTCTCGCACTTGTAGATAAGCACCTTATGATGTCTTCAAGACTTTTTGGAGTGATATACGAATTTGTGACAATTTACAACTATTTATGTAAGAATAGCACAATAACTGCGTTATTGCCTATTAATTGAAGGTTGGTTATTGTTAAATTTTCCACACTGTAGGGATAAATAGGTAAGTAACTAAGTACCTTTTTAACAAGTGGAACAAGTGAATTTATTTTTCAAATAGGGTACAAAATAGCACTTTAACACGTCAATTTTGTGAGGTCGACATTTCTTAACTGAATAGGTAGGTACTCCGAGAAGAAATTATCAACCACTCAACCAACGGAACAGATTTAGTACATTCATAACCTATTCATCATCTTCACCACATCACCACCAACCTGTAACTGTACCACTGTTTCCAATCGGAGAAGGAATGACTATTAATCACCAAGCTCTCAAGAAAAATTATAATCTTTAATTAAATCCATATTTCCTCACCATGTTTTCCTTGACCGTATGCCACTGATGTCTTAAACGACTTAGGAAGCACTTACTTATAACTTGAAAAAGGTACATTGATACTTGTCAGATAGCGAACCCACACCATCAGCTCGAGAAGCAGGTTCCTTAACCATTAGGTTATCTCAACTGTTATAAACTGTATAAATCCATTTTAGTTACTTATACCTAATTACAATTTTATTTGCTGTAGAAAGTCGAATAATAAGCGACCTTCAAATAATAAACAATGATATCGTCACACTGATATAAATTAACCATCAGTAACTAATTCTGCTTTATTTCTATATAAATCGTTGTGAAATTATACAAATTCGAATAGCACTTCAAGAAGCCATCAAGACACCATGAAGTTCCTACAAGCAACTCTGTTGTGCGCACTAGCCGTTATTGTGTCTCACGTCGCGGGTCAAAACGTTAAGGCAAACGTGGCCACCAAACTCGGTAATTTTTTATTTATATAGGTATAGTCTTCATTGCATATATAATACCAGATCTCAACGGTATACTTTATATATTTTTATGGGACCAGCCGGCAAACCAGCATACGGATCACCTGATGGTAAGCAATCGACGTCGTCAATGGATACTTGGAACACTAGGGGCGTTACAATTGCGTTACCGGCCTTTTGGGGATTAGGAATTTAATGATTGTTTGGGATTCAGGGATTGTGGAGATTGGGGTCCGGTAACCTCACTCACACGACGAAACACAACACAAGCGTTGTTTCATGTCGGTTTTCTGTGTGGCCTTAATATCATTCCGGTCGACCTGGCGCATTCGTGCTGAAGCATAGCTCTCCCATACTTAATTTACTATTTTTAGCAACTTAACTACGTTTCCCTACTCACTTCTCCGATTCTTAATCCCTTGTTCATTTTTCATGCATACAAAAAAAAACTGCCACCCATCAAACGTAACTGTTAAGACTTTATGACCCATCTTAGTGAATAGTGTGAGTTTGTTATACAGTTATCGTGATTGAAACGTTACGTACTTACTGGTGTTTAGCCGTGATCGGGTGGTTGCCAATCAAAGCGCCGATCGTCTTAAACGTCTCGATTGCGTTAACGTAAAACCACAGATATACCTAATAAAGAAGTTTTTTAGAACTTTTTTAACATTTCTGTGCGTAAAACCAACTTGCACTTACGTTAACGTAAATGCTATTACCGCCAGTTTTAGCTTTAGCTTTTTTAGTTATCAGTAAATCTCAGTCAATTAATACTTTTTTTTTAATACTATGGTACAGGTACCTACAAACATTTAAAGCAAAGTAAAAGTATTTTCAAAAGACATTTGTACTGAAGAACAGAAAGTGAAACGTATGTCTATAAAAAGTAATAATGTTTATGAATGTTGTTTGTTATGTACGTTTCCAAGTCAAAATAATAACGATTTTGCCTTCTTAACCCTTTGACTACCGTCATTATAGACACAATTAAAGAACAATAGGTTACGGTCACCGGTGTCCTCGCGGTGTTTGACAGTTAAAAAAAAGTCAAAGAAATAATATTTCAACGAAATAATATTTCCAGACCCTACATCTGACGACTTTGAGCTAGAAATACCAGAACATTGCAAAAAAATTGGTATTTGTGAAGATGTTCCTAACTACCCACAAGAACTAGCAGACAAGGCTATATCACAGGTACTTATAAGCTATTTTTATGGTTTATGAAAATCTTGTATACCTACTCATTACCAAAATACCATTACATAAACGAGGGATTCTTAACTATCCGGCAATAGTTATTCATTTTAACTTACGACTTCCTGTATTCGGTAGTATTACCTATTTGGAGTTCTAGGTATAGTTAGTAAAGAAAGCTATATAGGTAGGTAGGTAGATAGGTGATTATTATAAATGCCTAGTGAAGATTTCTTGCGCAATATATTCCAAATAAAACATTTAATCAATTAATTATTGTTGTTTGAGTTGTGGGTATAAAGTAAGTAACATTATTTTATTAAACAATAACTTAAAACACCAACTTAAATGATGATTTTGAAATTTGACAGCTGACCAATAGTGGTGCATTACAACAAGATAAACTGGACATTCCATTATTACCTGACATCGCACAAAGAGTTGGGGCTCATGAAGAAAATATCGAACTCTGCAAGTCTGACAAACGGGTAAGTCTTTAGATGTATAGATTTAATATACCGGAGTCCAAAAACGATGCAACTTTTTAATGGGTCCAAATAACAAAGGTCGACTTTTGTCTTTCTATCATCCTGGTCGCTAAGTACATGTACAGTCATCAACTCAGTGGCCTAGTGTAAATTCTGTGAATTGAAAATATTATAAAAAAAAATAACTTCTGCCAGCGGCTTCTCCCGCCTTCCCCGGGGTAGCCTATGTGTTACTCCACACCATAATCTACTTCTGTTCCATATTTCATCCTGATCCCATCAGCTATTACGATGTGACTGATTTACAAACATACACACAAACTCACATATTTTCACATTTATAATATCGGTTCAAGCTAATCTCAACCATCGGCCCTACAGTTACAGCGTTTCACTGCGGGCAACCTAGCATTCGACAAACTTATATTTGTGTTTGGTACTATAACTGTGTCTATGGATTGCCGAACAATTAGGTTTATTTTTTCGTGTATATACTTTTTGGGAATAAAAAGTACCACGTCTAGAAGTTAAATTATAATCATACCAAGTTTTATCGTAATCGAACCGGTAGTTTTAACGTGATGCGTGAACATACAGACAAACACCGCAGTTGTACATTTTATACAACAGTTAAATCAGATTCTATAAAACCTACGTGAAAATATATAATGTCTACCTTCTATAATTTAAAAACTCTGAAAAAATTAACATTCAAGTCGTCTCTATGAAATGCCTTTATTGTAGATCTAGAACTTTACTCTTAAATATAACATCGGAGTATTAGAGATTCAGAGCCCTTCGCGTGACGCATGTGAATTTTTTAATCGTTATCTAATGTTATATTTTACAGGTGGTGTATCCCAAAGCAGCACTTGGTACCGATGGAAAATGGCATGCTGTACTAAATCAAGACGAAACGCCTTTACAAGGTTTAATAGTTGAGGTTTGCGAGTAAGTCACAATTCTGTGGTTACAAAGCTCAAATAACCCTCCGTTATGATTTTTTAATAATTTCCTTTCTTCTTTTCCGTTCGATACAGTCTCTATACCTACTACCCAGGTTACTTTAAAGACATTGTAACAAAGTCAAACGTCGACTTATCAAGTAAAAAAAACCACTTAATTTCAGTTCTTACAAGGATTCCTAAACGTAGGTACACAACAAGACTTGAAAAAAAAAGTGTTTGATAATATTTTTATTAACTCTCTCTTGTTTCAGTCCCGCCTCTGCACCGTGTTCTAATGTAATATTCACTCAAACCGGATATGAAACCAGTTGCCAACAAAAGTTCGTGTACCGTACAATGCAAGTACTACTCCGCAATGGTGACGTATCGCAGAATCAACTACAAGTACCCAGTTGCTGTGCATGCGTTGCCAATGTTGTATGAATGTAAAATTTACTGAATTAATAAAGATTGTGTGCGATATGCGTAGTTTAATTACTGACAAAGAAAAGTGATATTTTATCAATAAATAGCATAAAAATTGTGTTTGATATCACCACCTAGCAATTAATAAAAATGTAATTATGTTTAATATTTGCTACATCTATGAAATTTTCAACGTGTTCATAAACCGGGACACGTACAGATATTATATCATGAAGATATCTTTGATTTCATAGTACATAACTAGGGCTATCTAATATTGTAAGATATTCTACCAGACGGACATTAAAATGAAAATTAGTAATCTGTAGTGAGAAAATGTGTAGGTAATTGATGTTGAAAACTGCCTTAATTTACCTAATGAAGGTAGTCTGTAGTACCTAATGTGTGTTTAGCACACGTCTGCCTTCCTATTCAGAAATTAGAAGGTGTCGTGTTATATTAATGGTACCTACTTAGGTACCAAACATGTATAGGTAAACTCGTCAATTCTAATAGTCGTTAAACTAGGTACCTACATTAAGCTTATACCATAGATACCTACTCCGTCGCGTCAAAAGGGCTGAACGGAAAGAGATGAATTTTAGGATTGGGGTTTTTTTTAAGGAGGAAAAATCATCGACTTGACATGACTGCTCCCGCCTGGGTGAGGCGGGAGGGAGTGTCAGACTCTTACTGACTAAAAACCACCCCGTTCCTTCTCCTGCACGTCGAGCCTGAGCCCCGGTTACCCGTTAGGTTCTCCGCGACTCCGAATCGGCATCGGCCCTGTTGGGGGGCGGGGGGCGGGGGGCCAGACGGGGGTCTGTGGTGGTCTGATGGCTTTTGAGGCGCGCGCGGAACGCGAACGCCGTACGCTCGAATAGGGGTAGGAAGATTATGGCGTGGAATAAGAACTATGCGTTTTATCCCACAGGAACGAACGACTAAATATTACGATGACCCGTATAATTATCCCCAAGCGGTCACCGGTGACCGCTCTCCACTAATTACATTATAGACCTTATTTCCAATGTTTAGAGACTACTTTTGTATGAACAAATTTAGGGGATGATGTTCAATAATTTTCAACGGGTTAAGACATTAGAAGTCACTTACTTGAGTATCTAGAACACCAATACTGCAGCTCCGCACTCCATGTACTGAAAGTGAAACTTCCAAACTCCGAGATGACATCCACTTGGAAAATAAGTAATTTCTTGTTACATTTTCTTTTTTCACTGGCAACTGAACGAAATAAAATAATTATAGTGTCTATTTTAGGTGGCATTGTATTAAAATAATGAATAGGGTAGGTATCTTTTGTTATTATTTTAGATTCACAAAAAAGCTAGTTAAACTAAAGAAAAACAAATGACTGTCCCTTACAAAAAAAATATTGTGGCTTAATTATGGCAAATATCAAACAAAACCAATGAAGACTACTTAAGAATTATATTTATGTCTGATTGTTACAAAAGGGAAATAATCGGTACTTACGTAAAAAGATTTTCCACAAAAGTTATCTTTCAATTCTTTTTTTCCAATTAAATCAATTTGCAAATCCAAGAAGGACCTACATACGTACATTTTTCTTTTCATGACGCCCGCCAAAAACAATAGACAAAAGCGTTATCTTTTTCGGACAATGGGGTCAATAATGGTTGCCAGTAGGTAATTACTTGTAACGAGTAAATCCATATTCATTACGGTTCGGTTTAAAAGCTGTTAAACACCTTGAAATAAATAGAATAAATTACAATAAATCATCTTAGAACGTAAAATATAATAGCTTATTTTAAAAAAGCAAAATTAAATGCAACGATTTGGCATTAATACACTTTTTTCTATTGTCCATACTGCTCTGTGATGCAATTTCACTATAAATATAATGATGCGGATGAATACTTTGATGCCTAAATTGAGGGACATAAGTTTTGTTGTTTACTTTTTTTTACGTTCATTTTATTTTACAGTTTAGTTGTAGTTAATTTTAAGTTGTAAATATTTATGTAGTTATAAACAATGTAATATATCTTTACTTTCAGTATACCAGTAAGACATTTTTAACTTTATTTCATTCGAATATTATGGGTCTAAAATCTAAAAAATGAACATAGACAAATAACTTATTCTTTACGCACTATCATCAATATGTGCTGTATGTCAATGTCAAGTGCCAAGACTGTCAAATGTCAAACTCTGTATTTGAAAATCTGAAACTGAGCTCATGAACTGCCAGGAATCCGCCGAAATAGTGTATGGAAAGAAAATGCTAATTTCTCTTAATAAAAAATCATTGATTACGTTCTATTTTTCGTTTCTAAGACCTTGCTTGGTACTTGCTCAAGCGAATATGTCTTCTGGAATCGTAGATGCGGGTAAGTTATAGCGATTTACTTGCTATTAATTAATTAACAACAACAATAAACATTCGAGGCATTTCTTTTCTACAACTTTATCACTGAATTTACATATTAGATTTTATTAAGTCATTTTCTGTCTGCTCCATTCTACTCTAAAACTATTTTATTTCTGTCTAATGTGGTACTTCACCATTTATGACCATTAATTTTAACTTGTGTTTAATAATGTTTATAAATAAATAACAAAACCCTTTTGTTGAAAGTGTTTCATGATTTAAAGTTAAAGTTTTAAAAAGTTAAAATAAGCAACCATTTTCATAATAATTACAGATAAATACTCTGTGGCATATGTGACAGTACCAAGTGTAGATGTGGGCAAAACTATTGGACATGGTTTAGTGAAGAATAAGCTGGCTGCCTGTGTCAATGTTATACCACAAGTAACTTCCATATATGAATGGGAAGGAAAAATTAATGAAGATAGTGAGGTAAATATCCAAACTTATTAACTAAAGTTCTGTATTAAACTGTCAAACACCAAGCGTTCTTTGATTGTGTCTATAATGACGGTACTCAATGAGTTAAAACCTTTTTGTTGTAGCAAAATTATGGGGTTAACAAGACGTTATACTGTTAGGTATATAGCATAATCAGTGGTGTTACTGTACCATTCAGGGCCTGTGGCTAATTCATTGTATCGGCTCCCATTCCAATAAAACCCCTTACAGCTGGGGGCAGCATGATATAATTATTGAAAATGTCTTCATTATTATTTAGAATTATGATAATGTTTAAGTACCGATGTAACAAAAATTTTAATTGCATTTTCTTAATGCAAGAAATATGTTTCTGATTCTGTTAATTTTGTATGAATACTATTGATATATCTATTCTCTAATTCCAGGCGCTGCTGATGATTAAAACGAGAACAACACAAGTAGACAAACTGACAGAGTTTGTTCGCACCAACCACCCTTACTCAGTCTGCGAAGTCATCTCACTGCCAATCAAGAATGGAAACCCACCATATTTGAAATGGATTGGAGATACAGTCCCTGAGAATTAGTACATGGTATTAATGTAATGTCACAACATTTTCAATAGATTATTTCAGAATTTTCAATTTACTTGATATAGTCAGATAGGCTAAGATTCAAAATGTTTCGTTTCAAAATGATAGCTTTGAATGCTTATGGTGGATTAGACCATTTCACATCAATTTAATTTTATTATATTCAATGCAATATGAACAATTAGTATTTTGAAATGGTTAGAGTGATATTTCTATTCATAGATGATTTTGCATAATTATGAAAATGATTAATTGCATTTATTATGGTTAGTAGATAATTGCAACAATTTAAAAATTTGTTGCTTCTCCTTGAGTCACAGCTTCTAAACAATGAATTTAGTAAACCTTTAACTCGTCGAGTACCGGTTTTGTAGACACAATTATAGAACAATAGGTTGCGGTCACCGGTGACCGCTTGGTGTTTGACAGTTTAAACTGCTTTTCTAAAAAATGACAAAAAATGGTTATAAAACCATATTTGTGTGATTGTTACTTCTAAGTCAAATATGTAATTTGTTAGTTTAAGGAAAATATATGATTTTAAAGAAAATTAATCTTTTTTTCTAACACCAATCTATGTTGTACATTGTAGGAAGAGCTGCCAAGATCAACTAGTATGAGATGGAATTCAGAAGTTTTGGCTGTCTAGTTTAGTTAGAGCTTAGGATGAACTCCTCCCTGCTGAAAATTGTAAGCCATCATTACCTTATTCTGAAATACTTTGCCCACAAAATATCGTTGTTTATAAGCCTCATGTCTTTCTGACGGTACAACAAAGGTTGGACAACTGGAGTTCAATTTTCGATTTTAATTTAGATGTACAGAGATTCTATCAAAAACTTAGATTGACCATTGATATCGATTATTAAAATCGACCGATCTTATCCAATTCTATGTCTAGAGAAATTGTCTACCTACCATTTTTTTTTTATCGATAATGAAATATCTACGTCATCCAGGTAAGTGCCTAATTAATTATATTATCTATTTCGCTCCTAGAAAAGCCCAAATCAACAAGCAGATAGTATAAACCTTGTACCTAGAAATCAACTAAACAAACTGTACAGTGCACACACCAACAAACGAATAGCAACATATCACTTATAGGTAACATTCAAGTTGTTGAATAACCTAGTATCTACAGGGGTTACAAAATTTTTACTGCATACAAACTGATGTGTTTATCTCCGATCTATGGTGCAAGTTGGAATGGAGCCAGCAACCTGTTACTGTCACAAACATAAGACCCAATAAGCATGTGCATTATACTTTGCCAACTAAGTAAGAAGTGTTATCTAAAACAAAAGTAGATACCTACCGGAGCTACAGAAGACCTAGCGAGTTACCGGGACTCCGGCTCGGAGCAGGAGTATCTACGAACGGCGTGATTTTTATTCAGTAGGTACCTAAGTGTGTGACACTCGTCTCACCTAAGGCGGGAGAAATAATTGGATGATGTTCCCCTCTCAAAAAAGGTAGTGAGTTGCAGTGAAGTCTGTATCTAACTACATAGATAAACTAGGTAGGTACTCTACTACAATCATCTAACATCTAACCATTGCTTGTAATAGGTGCTCACAATTTATTGTGCTTACTTATAGTAGGTAGACCTGGCACCGACCTGCCCTGTGACTGAATGTCGTGGGAAGCACGGACACACTTCCCAAGACAGTCTGCAATGTGGAGCAATGAGGAAGACGTGTTGTTCTTATGAATAACTTTAATTGAGTGTCCAATAACTAACTTACACTACTTACTTATAGGGCGAGGTGTCACACACACTACAAGTCAATCTCAAGTAGGTATTCAGATACTACCAGAATAAGACGTGCCTATCACTTACTACTGTTAAGAAATGACTACATAAATGATTTTTCTTAAAAAAGTAGTTGCGTACAGTCATTTTGCACGTGATTTTTCAATAAGATAACAAGGCTGAACATTCATTCCCACTCGGTTAACAGAATAACAGCTGGGATTCTTAGTGACCATTGATGTTCAATCAAATCGTTTAAATTAAACTATTAGGTAGTCTGGGTATTCCTTTGACACAATCACGTCCACGCTGCAAATTGGGTTGGGTAAGTATTTATATTTTTCGTAGAACGGAATGACGATGTTTATTGTGCTGAATCATAAATGGCAGTGGTTGGATGTAAAGAGCTGAATCAAAGTCAGTAGTATGCTATTGAAGAGGCCTGTCTCGTTTTTATAATAACTATCGTGAGACATACTAAATTAACTAAAAATCGCGCGTTAGGTACTCACGTGACTATACTGTATGTGACACAGCCGCAACCGCGCACTCCGCTCATTAGAAAGAACCCCTCTGTAGTTCGAAACTAATAGAGCTTTTCTCAGTATATTCACGTGAGTAACCCGCGATTTTTAGTTAATTTAGGCCTGTCTCGAATAGTATGGTGGCCAGCAGGTCAATCTATTGTTTTCTGTCAAATTTCCTATTACATCTTCAACTTTATTAAATTGACATATAGTCAAAAATCCAATGAATTTATTTAACAGATTGGAGGAGGATGATCTGCTGGTTTTTTTTAAATAGGACAAACCTTTCAAAACCTGTGCAACTTTTGTGTGCTAGGATCTATAGAAAGTCAATACAATAATGAAAACACCGGAACACTGAAGTATGAATCGTAACACACACATGGACATGAATAACTGTCTTTGTTCCGTCAAAGGAATACATCAGAAGATATCAAGTAGGTACCTACAGACCTACTATATAAAGAAGCTGATATACTCTTCTAGTACTTATTAACTCGTCGAGTACCGTCATTATAGACACAATTATAGAACAATAGGTTGCGGTCACCGGTGACCGCTTGGTTTTTGACAGTTTAAGAATACTCTTCTAAACTTAAAGATTATTTTTAAACTAGGTACCTATAATAATCTCCAAGCCGGCACCTAAGTTGTACCATCCAATTTGCGCCAGATAGGGATAGGAATCTGTTCCTACAACTATATAAGGTAGTAAAATAATTATTATTTTATAACCCACATAAATTCATTGAAACTTAATTGTGAAGGTTGATCAATTTTTCGACTCGATTTTTATGATTTTAAACTGTCAAACACCGCGAGGACACCGGTGACCGCAACCTATTGTTCTTTAATTGTGTCTATAATGACGGTACTCAACGAGTTAAACCACGTAGCCACTAGCCACAAAAAGCGCATAGTAACGTACATAAAAAGTCTATTGGTCAACAAACGCACATCATAGGCGTTATCCAAAGCATTTTTTTATGAAACGGACAGACCACAAGACAATTCGTATAACTGATAACGCCACATTCACGCGAGTAGGACAAACCTCTTGTAGAAATTATTTCACTTATAAAAATAAGTAGGTAAGTAGGTATTCCACTTCTTGATGAGATGAAATGTATAAGTGTGTGTTAATCATAGTACGTAACCATAGGGCAGCCCGCTTTTGGCCGCATATATTTCTTTCTCCATGGAGTTACTACCAATCCATATGCAATATTTATGCCACCCATTTGGCAACGAACATTAATATGCAATGTGCCCCCAACTTGCCATTGTACAATATTCAGAGCATCCTAGCCTGTACTAGTTATCAAGTTTTTGTCTATTTGGCGGTATGCCAAGCTGTGGGTGGTTTGCCTTGTGATAACGTAAGTAATTACAAATTAACCACTCCTTGCCTGAAACTAGACAGAGACTATTTATTTTGAAGATCATTGTTTTGGATACTCATGTTGTGAATGTACTTTATTCTTTTACTGATAGCTTCATTTTTACACAAAAAAACATCAGAGCACTTAAAGATTATTTTTTAACATCACTGACTGATACAGCCTACAATAAATCTAATTATTTATGTAAGCAGTCGTCTCAGTAACTATATTTGGAACCAAACAACGTGATAAATAATTCGACGGAAATACCTTCGCGATCCAGTAAGTGTTCTGTTCAGTGTCAGAACATTTAATTTTAAATATGTGACAGTATTAAACTTTCTCACTGCGTTCTCTTACGTAACGTGAAATACATCGTTGTTACAAAAAACTACCATTATCTACTAATTGCCTCATTTATATTAACTGGAAACGTACATAAAACATAGACCGTGTGTAACAAAGAAAAGACAAATGGGTACTTTTGGAACGAAACCGAACACATCTTCGGTCGCATTTCGCTCGACCAATCGTAGCGCCCGTAGACGTCTACGAGTTTCGTAGCGCCCGCTGACGCAGTAGGGCGGCGTAGCACTACGCTTATCGGGACACAGCCTGAATACATTGACCTTTGTTAAAATCGCCAAAATTCAGTTTCAATTAGGTACGTTACACAGTTAGAAGCGAAATAAAAGTACTCGTGTGTCGGCGACGCGTGGGATCGGACGTACCTCATGTAAGAGCAGTTTTGTTATGGCATCAATAAAAATCTTTACGGAAACATCTGCAGTCATAAAAGCTGTCGTATCGGTTTCGGCGATGCTTATGGATCGCTACGAAGAGTGAGGCTGAATCAGTTGGCGTCGAGGATCGGAGGCGAGAAGGTGGTGAACGGGGTGGAAGGATGGTCATGGTTCCGAGGGGTCGGTAGTGCAGTGCGGCACGCGCCGGCGCGGATCGATCGCGCGACATCGACCGCGCGGGGCGGGGCGCCGTCGCTCAGTCGCGCGCGGGCACGGCGTGCGGGCGCGCGCATCGCTGCACGTGCATGGCGCGCCTGACTGGATGCCTCGCGCCCTCGGGGAATGGCTTCGTCCGAGGAAGAGGCGACTACAGCGTCGACCGACACTTATCCTGAAGATGATGACTGCCTCAGTGTACGAAAATGGTGGTGCTTTCTGCTGTCGTCGATTTTCACCTTCCTTGCGGGGTTGCTCGTGGTGCTGTTATGGCGCGCGTGCGCGTTCGTCTGCTGCCACAAGGAGCCGGAGCTGGCACCCAACGACCCCAAGCAGAAGGAGCAGAAGGCGGCGCGGCAGGGCAAACAAGAGTTCGAGGGCACGTTCATGACCGAAGCGAAAGACTGGGCCGGCGAACTCATATCCGGTCAGACCACCACCGGACGAATACTGGTAAGTACACCTTCATATCTCCAACCTGCGACCAGTGGTCAGGGTTACACTCTGAGCAGAGGTTACCTAATTCTAACCATCCCTCTCAATATTTCACAAATGTTCGCTAGGTGGTAGTACTTAAATATTAATTCGTGTGGTAATCTGCCAGAAATTCTTAGTGTTTTGAAGTAGGCATGATGTCTGTGATGCACACACAGACACCTGTCTTAGATAAAGACGTGTAAATTAATTGAGGTAGCCTCTGATGATTGACGACATAATAATATGTCATTAATAAGGGCTCATCGATTGCTTTCATCATTAAGATTAGAAGCCCCTGTCGTCGTATCAATTAAACGTAAGCGGGTATATTGACATGTATCGTTCTTATTAAGTACTTGTAGGTAAAACTGTACCAATAAGCAACACTTTGAACTACGATTGATAATGCACGTAAACAAAGTGGTGTTCAAGTTTTCATATTACTGAAATGAACCCTATGTATGTATAACCTTTATATATTGTTTATTTATTATATGTAAGCATTTTGATCAGTTTATTATTTGAGGCCTACCCACATGGTTAAAATAATATCGTTTATACAACTATTAACTGTATAATCCAGGTTTCATTCGCAAACGTAAACCTCATTTTAGCAAATCAATTTCAAATCAAAAAATTAGTGTAATCATAAAATTATTTACTTACGGACATAGTGGGAATACCATGCATCCCTCTACTCAATTAAGTGGCAATATAAAAATATTGCTGAACATTAATCCAAATCTGTCTGGTTGGCCCACACCCCTACTCTGGATAGATCACCAATGTCATGCCATGACGTCACAGAACCAACCTTGTACGAGTTTGTATCAATATTAGCCGTTTAATATTTACAGCTCGATAAATATTTAATTGGGAGCATGTTTACTATGTTTCATCAGCTTAATTCATTACTAAGTCTAAGTAAAAGGGTACTTACCTTTAAACTACATTATCAAATAACTAATATCTAAGAATTTATATCCTTACATTGCTAGGATAGAGGACTTCGAGACCGTAGTTCTTAAACTATCTACCACCTGCTATAACTCTTACCACTTGCTTCCTGTGGTGTCTCCATAAACAAATGACTACAGGTAGCTACCTATCGCCGATGGCTGTAATAAAAATGACAACGCTATACATTTTGCATACAATTACTCTACCAAATAGCCATAACATACATATACACAACATCACGCCTTTTATCCCCAAAGAGATAGGCAGAAGTACACATTATGGCAGTTAATGCCACTGTTTGTACATGAATAGTGAAGAGTGGGTGTTATATTGTTATAACACCCACTTTTCACTATTCATGTTATGAGTCCCATGGAATAAGGGTGGGCCTATTGCCATATACTGGGCGCCATTCCAGACTCTAAAACCTAACCCAGTAGTATTTTGCCCGACCCGAGAATCGAACCCGAGACCCCTTGGCCGGCAGTCGCACTTGCGACCACTTGGCCAATGAGGCAGATATAGCAATAAATACACTTTAAATGTACGAAAGCAAACAACAAAGTATTCTAATCATACAATTTCTCAATTAGATAAATTAAGTTCTGACTTAGATGCGATATATAGAGACGTTCATTGACATTACGAATCACTATAGAGGTAGATTTGAAGTAGTTCAGTATATGTTCTATTCCTTTCAATATAGGTTTGCGTACGTATTAAGAGGTGAAGAAAATCAAGCGTTCCAATAAATAGATCATGTACAAAAAGTTTGTTTTTAGTTTATATAGAGGTAAGATTGTAGCCTATATATAAATCAGTCTGTTTGGTTAACCAATCGATACAGACCTTTGGTAATGATTACTGGCCCTTTCAAAGGACTCAGAAGGTCCCTAATCTGTTAACGCTTCTTAAAGATAAAAGGGTCGCCTATGCTAAGGTATGGTTTACTTACTATGGGCAAGGTAAGGAGAATGACGAAAGAGAATCATCAAACATTCCTTATTTTTTACCTTTTTAGTTAGGTACTTGTTTAAATGGGAGTTTTTGCTTCCCTTAATTGTTGTTCTACAGGAACCTGTGGAGGTGAAACAAAAACCTATGTCTGAGTATTTTCAAACGGATCAAGTAAATACCTAAATACCCATGCACCGTAGTACGTACAGTCACAAGGAAAACAAGCCTTAAGTATTGAGTAATTTTTAAAAAATAATTATTAAAAATAGGTACTGGTATCATGTTTGGAACAAAGTTTTGTATTATGAATTCTATTAACATTTAAAAACAAGAATATTTAAAAATAAAAGTATCTTCAATTTATTGTTAAGTCTAATTTATGTTATACCTACATGCAAAACTAAAAACAAAAAAGTAGTGTTTAGGTTTTTTTCATATAATGTTTCAATATTGGCCTAATCCATATCGTTACGTAACGCCGATATAATTGAAACATTAATTATGTAGACAAACATACATACATACATAACTTCACGCCTGTCTCCCATGGGGGTAGGCAGTGACTATTCACTATTCGACGCCAATTACTACGATTTCTACACACATCTTTCGCTTCTTCAACAGTCATCAATCTTTTCATGCATGTCCGTCGGTTAGATATAATTTCTTATTTACAGGTAACTCACATAATAATATGACCCAAATAAGTTTATTATTCTACCTCTATAATACTAGTATCATTAAAGACCCTAGCTTTTGCCTGTGACTTTACACGCGATAAATTCTGACTATCAACTTTCCACGACAATTACGCTATCTTTTCAAACAACCGCATCAAAATCTGTTGCGCAGTTTTAAAGGTCTAAGCATATAAATGTACAGACAGCGGGAAGCGACTTTGTTTTATACTATAGTGATATAATGTCAGTATAAGTACAACAATTAATAATAATTAGATGTCGGTAAAAATATCTCAGGTTGACCAGCCTTCTTTGATTTTATTATGAATATGATATCTTTCCTTAAAGTATTGAGTTTCTAAAGTAGTCCTTATCTACCCACCAATGTTCAGTTTATAACCAAAATTAATTATTTTTATATATTGGAAATATATTTGCCACTTATAGGTACTAAACTTGTTGGTAAAATAGATAATATATTATGTGTATAAATTATTTATAAAATAACAATATTTTTATTCGAATATTCAAAATATTATTTCAGCTATACACACAGAAAAGTGTTTTAAAGAAACACTATCATGAGAAAGCTTACTTCATAAAACTCCTTTTAGTTGAATAGAATTATTACAATTATATTACGAAACACCAATATAGTCTTCAGATTTTAATAATCAATATTGAGTAACGAACCGACGAACATGGACGATCCATTTTAGCTACTTATTTGGTTAATTATACATTCTTTGCCACCGAAACAACCACGTAGGAACAGACCGAATAAATTAACGCTGTATGAATCACTCTAGTGATCTAATAGCGTAAAATCTCAACATAATAAGATTACCATGCTGTTCACGAATTACAAGTATTCTTACTAATCATATTCATGCTAAAATTAAGTATACCTAAATGCAAAAATTTCTGAGTTTGTGTGTATATTCCTAACAATCACGTTGCGTCGTCAACATCAATGTCACACGTCAAAATGCTTGCGCTGTGTTTCGTCGTGTCAGTGAGGTTACCGGAGGCCCAATTACCTTCCCCTCCCTTCCCCCAATCTCCCCAATCCCTGAATCCCCAACGATCCTCAAACTCCTAATCCCCAAAAGGCCGGTAACGCACTTGTAACGCCTCTGGTGTTCCAGGTGTCCATGGGCGACGCCGATTGCTTACCATCAGGTGATCCGTATACTCGGTTACCGGCTTATGCCATAAAAAAAATCACGTCAAACTGGCTGAAGGGAAGGAAATGAAATTTGGAACAGAGGTGGATTATGGTTTGCAATAACACATAGGATACTTTATATCTCACGGGAACCCGGTCGAAGCCGCCGGCAGAAACTAGTTATACGTAAATGCAAAAGATTGTGAGTTTGCGTGTGTTTGTTACTTAATCATGTCAAAACGACTGAAGGGATCGAGTTGAAATTTAGAACAGGGGTAGGTTATAGTCTGGAATAACACATAGGCTACGTTATATCAGACGGGAACTCGGGCAAATCCGCCCAGCAGAAGCTAGTGGGTGTATAATGTATACCTAAGACAGTAAGGACTGCGCTCTGTGTAACTCACATCTAGGGTTGCCAACCATACTTTATAATAACGTATTCTACTTTATTTTTGGTAATCATACTTTATACTTTTACATACAAATAAAGCATGTAAAAAATCTTTATTTCTAACCTTTATTGCAATGCGTGGAATAACACGGTAGGTACTAACTATTTGACGGTGTTCATTAGTTAAAAAAGATTATGGTAAACGAGTAAAATATAATACTTAAAAATGACGAGTAATTCCATAATTGAAACATACTTTTTTTTTGTAGATATTTTATTTTATTATTTTATTTTTTAAAAGTTGGCAACCCTACTCACATCAGTAAATCGGCTAGCAAGCCGTTGATCTCCAAATTCTGTGCGATTGATGAGATGAGTAATATTATAGGAAATAGATATAAATGTACTGTAAATCATGTCTACTGGACTACTTACCTGACTAGGGCCGAATCTCATCTAAGTTTAGTAATACGTGCTTACATGTATTTTATCTATGTACCTACCCATATGTAAACGAATTGAAAAATTATACTATACAAGATCATTATTGAATGCTATATTGGTATATTTACAGCAATTTTTCCTAAATATCTCCATACTCAAAGAAAACGTTAATATTACCTAATATTTTATTTATTTTATTAAGACATATCAACAATATAAATACAAACATTGAAAATAAGAAAACGATAGAGATACAGACCAGTGTTCAAATCAATCAGAAGATATACAGAACATTCAAGTACACAGAATACAAGAACACATAGTATTACAGTAATATATATGTAAAAGTGACTGCACTCCAACTATTGCTTTT